GGTAAATTCAGAACCCAGTACTCATTTTCTTCCAGATTTATAAAGGAGGCAACTTTTCTTAAGTGAATTTATTTTAATTAAATAATTAAGTCAAGGTTCAGTAAACTAAAGTCAGTAGATTGGATTGGATATAGCCCATGGACATGTGGCTTTGGTGGCATTTGGTGCTGGGGACTTCTCCTGTGTTGTAGTGGGGAGAAACTGCAGTAGTGGGAGCTTTACCTGTGCCAGGGTGGGGTAACGCAGGGGTATTAGTGGTGGACAGGTCCTAGAACCCATCCTCCTTTGACCCAAGTTGAGTCATTCTGTCCCATGGCTTGAGAAGTTTACCAGTTACACCAGGCTTATTCTTATTTCATTTGATATTTTTTGTCATTTAATAATAGGTAAAATTGATATTCTGACCAGTTATGGTTATTAAATATATTCAATGATACATTTTTTTTTGAAATGGTATTTAGTTTCCATTTATTGGCTGAATTTCAGGTTGGGTAATTTATATTATGCCTACTTGGATTTCCATGGTGTTTTTAGTTGGCTTTAGTAGTGTTTGTAGCTTTCTGTCCCAAGTTATGTTCTACTGTTGCTACAAACTATGAAACAGTAACTGGATTCTATGATCCATTCTTCTAAGATGAGATGACTGGCTCTGTGGAAGCAGAGAGACCACTGAATGTGGTGTACCTTGATTTTAGCAAGGTTTTTGATACAACCATCCACAACATTCTCCCAGGCAAGCTAAGAAAGTATTGCCTGGATGAATGGACTTTAAGGTGGATAGAAAACTGACTGGAGCATTGCACTCAGTTGTAATCAATGGCTCCATATCTAGTTGGAGTGCCCCAGGGGTTGGTTCTGGGGCTGGTTTTGTTCACTATCTTCATCAACAACCTGAAAGATGGCACAGAGTGCACCCTCAACAAGTTTACTCTGACACCAAGCTGGGGGGAGTAGTAGATATGCTGGAGGGTAGGGCTAGGATTCAGTGACCTAGACTAATTGGAGGATTGGGACAAAAGAAATCTCATGAGGTTGAACAAATACTAGTGCAAAGTCCTGCACTTAGGATGGATAATCCCATGCACCAGTACAGGCTGGGGGCTGACTGGCTGGGCAGCAGCTCTGCAGAAAAGGACCTGAGGGTTACAGTGGACAACAAGCTGAATATGACCCAGCTGTGTGCCCTTGTTGCCAAGAAGGCTAACTGCATACTGGGCTGCATTGGTAGGTATGTTGCCGGCAGGTCAAGGGACGTGATTATTTCCCTCTATACAGCACTGGTAAGACAACATCTGTAGTATTGTGTTCAGTTGTGGACCACCCCCCACCCCTACTACAGAAAGGATGTGGACAAATTGGAGAGAGCCCAGCAGAGGGCAACAAAAATGTTGAGGGGGATGGAGGACATGACTTAGGAGGAAAGGCTGTGAGAACCGGACTTATTTAGTCTACAGAAGAGGAGACTGAGAGGGGATTTACCAGCAGCTTTCAACTACCTGAAGGGGGGTTCCAAAGAGGATGGAGCTAGACTTTTCTCAGTGGTGGCAGACGACCGAACAAGGGGCAACAGTCTCAAGTCGCAGCAAGGGAGGTTTAGGTTAGATATTAGGAAGAATTTTCTCACTAGGAGGCTTGTCAAACACTGGAACAGGTTACCGAGAGAGGTGGTGGAAACTCCATCCTTGGAAGTTTTCAAAACCTGGCTAGACAAAGCTTTGGCTGGGATGATCTAGTTGGGGATGGTCATGTTTTGGTCGGGGTGTTGGGCTATATGATATCCTGAGGTCCCTACCAATCCTAACTTTCTATGATTCATTATTAACATTGATGATGGGAGTAGGAGGGTGGGTCAGCAGCTATTAAGCATTGAGTGGAGGAATGAGATTAATTATATTTTAAAATATGTCAAGCAGTTGGGGCATTAAGGTACTATATATTGCTTGTTACAGATGGGATATCTTTATTTTTTCCAGGAGCAATTTTTGATGAATCTGCCAAAAAGGATGAGGAGGTATTTCGTATGGCAGTTGCTGACCTCAATCAGAATGATGAAATCTTACAAACTGAGAAAATCACTTGTTCTGTGACATTTGTGGATGGCAACAACCCATTCCAGGCAGTTCAAGAAGGTAGGAGGTTAAAACTTACCATATTTATCTGGTTTTCTTTCTACAGCAACACCCAATTTTATATACAGAGCACCTTAATGACTTAAGCACATGAACTCTCTCTGTCTTTATGCAAAATGTATTCAGTATGTATAATTAGTGTGGTGGGTTCTTTTTTTAAAAGTGAAGTTATGTTGCATGGAGATCTAATGTGCTTAATTTTGGAGCATAAATCTTGAATTTGGTCATGTTTATTAAGAAGGACCTTGAGCAAAGGTAGAGAGAAGTCTGGCATAGTTGTTCTGAATAACTTGTGTTAGAATGTGTGGATATTTTCAGGTTACTGACAAGCAGGATCTCCTTTCATGACCTCTTAATATGGCTCAATGACTTCATTAAACTGAAATACCAGCACAAGCTCAGTGGCAAAAGCATATGCCAAGTTTTGAGGATAACCTCTTGAGGTGCTACAGACTGATTAAGGTTACCTTCCTTATATTAGGTTTTGAAAATAACCTTGCAGTCCAGAAAATTACTCGTGTCAAATATAATTCTCTAGTCCCACCATATGTTATCATGGCCAAATACTCTATACAAAAGATGGTTATATTTTTAGTGGGGTAAGGTAATACCAGTAGGGTAATAACAGAACGCAGTATTTTATATCTTTTTGAGCTGGTTTAATAAGTCACTGGTATGACTATGTTGTCTAAAAACACAGCTGTGTGAAGATATTGAAACTATGTATTTCTATTTCATGAGCATCTTATTTCTTGCTCTGAAAGAAGAAAGTACTAATATGTAGGGTATAACCATAGGACATATGGTTATCACAGAAATACATTTAATTATATCATAAAAACATAGTTTGTTTTATAAATCCATGCTCGCTACAAGCTACAGATTTATATTACTCAAGATTCTTAGGTGAAGTCACTTTGATTGTTTAAATGCAGAGTTTTAAATGACATCTAACTTGTAGTTTGGTTTACAAGATAGCAAATCTTATATGTTGGCTTTCTTAATTCTAGTTATTTACTGTGTAGAAACAGTGGAAGTAAACTGGCCTATGTATAGTAGCTAGTTAATTTGCTAACACTTAATCCACAGTTAGGCTTGATTGTTACAAAGTTAGTGGTAGAATTTGCATTGGCTTCAATGGAATATGGTTAAACCAAAATTAGTAACAAGTTACAAATATTTTAGTGAGGCTTTTTGCCCCCAAGTCTTTGAGCACTGAAATACATGATCAGATCATGCATAAAAAACAGTATTAAGTAATATGTTCTGAGCAATGCTGGATTACAGAAAGAGTGATTTATTTTGTGAACAGTGTGGATTAAGAAAACCTGAAATTAAACTGACAGAGGTACATAGAGGTATTGGGAAAGGATGTGTTGAGAATTCAGAGATGAGAAGGAGGGGAAAAACCTTCTAGGTTGCTTTTGTGCTTGTATTGTTAGCATGTCAGCTGTTCTGTAATCAGTTAATGATGGATCATACTAGTTGATGATGACATACCTAACAACAAAACACCATTCATCAAAGCATCAGGGCACAGAGAGATTTTATGGAGATTTGTTTTTTTTTTTTTCTTTTAAGCTGTATGGTTGTTTAGGATCAGAATAGATTTATTTTATATGTTTAAGGAATGTGTGAACATCTATAAAAGTGAATGTGCTGAAAGTAACATTTAATGACTTTGTGGTTTTGATTTTGGATCTCTGACCATTTTATACAAAAATTCCATTTTTCACTCATTAAGAAAATGTCTGTAAGTTTGGGAGTAGATTGTAACAGAAGTGAACTGCAGGGTGAAATATACTTTAACTTCTCATGTGGGAGGAAAAGTCCTGCTGGCATATTAAGGAGGTTCTGAAGCTCAATAAAATATTTGCTAAGATGAAACTCAGTTCCTGCAAATCTATGATGGAAAGCAATCAAATTGCAGGGTACAGTCTTTGTAACATAGCAACATTTTTCTGTACCAGTGTGACACTTTTTTTGTTTGACGAAAGGCAACTTGGAAAAAAAATGGTTATTTTTATTCTTACTGGCTTGTTGTCTTTGTTATCAATAGTAATACAGATCCTTTTGAGCTGACATTCTAGGAATTTTTTGTAACTTGAGGCTAAATCCCATTTAACAATTAATGTATCCCATGCAGGATGCACCTACTTTGCACTTGTTTACTCTGCATGTAATTCCTCTGCCTTTCCCTTTCCTCAGGAGAAATTGTGTCGATATCCACATAAATTATATTGATACCATATTAATACCTACATGGAAAAAATGTGTTAAGCCAAAATGTTGCATTAAATCTGTGTTTCTACTCTAAGGTGGAACTGTGAAACCTAACTAGTTGAGAATGAATGGACTTAGTCTTCCTCTCTCATTTAGTCATTTTTTTCCAGTGAGACCCCATTTTGGTCAGTAGGTGCCAGGGATACAAGTCTAGTATAGTAAGATAGAGGTTTGGGGATCCTCTATTTTTCTCTGGTTTCAAGCAAAACCCCAAATTTAAAGTCATCGTTGGCTAAAATGCTTGAAGTTTGCATGGTTTCAGTTCATGAGAAGATTTCTCATGCTTTTTACGTGAGTCAGACCATTAAAATAAGGTTTGCACCCTTTGTTTTGATGTTCTTTATTGCCCTATATGTTTATAATATTAGTATGTCCAGAAAAGTAACCTTACACTGGAATGCTGTTGGTCAAAATATGACCTGACCTCACTGAACAGTAAAACTTGTTCTAGGGCTTGAGCCTGCAATAAAGCAAAATCATATACTACTGGCAAATGTCTTTTAGATTTTTATGATCCACTGAAAGAAAGCATGTAATATTTCTAATTTCTGTTTCATTTTATCGGGGAAAATTAATTTATCATTCATACCCAATGAGCACATCAGCTCTAAGATGTTTTATTTTGGGTTTTATAGGTCAAGCTAATTTATTTAATATATTTTACCTTTGTACTTACCACAGCAGCCATCCTTCTGAATCTACTTTTATAAATTAGTATAGTGCCCTGAGACTTCTTCCATTTCTGTCTTGGGGCATCTTATTAATAGTCCTGATTGGGGCTATGAGATTGAATTGCACAGCTGAGAGATTTTATCCCAGATGTCCTGTAATGCCAATGGGAGTGCCTTCAGAAACTATATACTTTATGACAGAGCACTGAAATAAAAAGTGAAACTTATTTATTAAAATTAAGGAAATGTTTTCTCTATCAGCCTAAGTGCTAATAAAGAGTCCCAGTGCTGAAAATGGGTCACCTCATTGAAAGCAGTGGTGCGGTGTGATTCAACCTCTGTATATGGAATGATGAGGTTATAACTGCTTATTTAAACTGAACCTTGACTGGTTAAATATCTGTAAGCAAAGCATAATAATGTTTATGCTCTATATATGAACAAACATAATGTCAGTGCACTGTTTTTCTCTATTTATAGAAACAATTCACAATCTCTTTTTTACAGATGGTAGTGAACCAAGACAATCAGATTTTTTGTTTGCTGAGTGTGTGAGGTGGGGAGGGTGGGGGGGAGGGGGGAATGAAAGAAACAATTCAGGAGAGTGCCTCCAGTTTGTATAATGGAAACATCACATTTTAAGCATTTTTCAGCACAGAGAATTAAAACATCAGATCCATGGTAACATAAATAGGACTCTTTTCCTGTGAAATCTCTCTTCCTGGTGGCATTGCTTTGTTGCATACCTAGAAGAAATGGGCTGAAAATTTCAAAGGAGTGGAGTTCTAAGTACACTGAAATGCTACTTTTTAAACAGTCTTCTGAAATGTTTTAATTCATTTTTTCTCCATTCGACATGCATTCAATGAAGAAATAAATGAGTTTACCCTTTTGCCTCTCACATACTCTTCATTGTGGGTGTTTCTACTCATGCAATTAATGCAAAGCAATAAACTCCAGAGCTCTACAACCCCAGAATTTATTGCTGTTTGCACATGTGCTGGGATTGCAACACACTGAGCTGGGTCAGAGCAGCCCCGGCTGGCAGGGGGTCCTGGGGGTCTGCCTGCCAGCCTGGGACTGTACCCCTCTGCCTCAACGTGTTGTGGAGGGGGTGGCTGGGGCAGGAGGGTGCCTCATCATGGTGCTAGCAGGCAGGCAGCCACTGCAGTGAAGCACCCTGATGCCCCAGCCACCTGGGGCAGAGTCTACATGTGTGCTGCTGTGCAGTTTTTTACTATCCTGCCAAGAAATAAATTAGTTTATTTCAACCTAATAGGGGAGCACATGTAGACACTGAGATGTTTACCGCACAACTCATTAGTCTACTGCTCAGTAAGCATCTTGTGTAGATGTGCCCTGTTATAGTTCTTTGTTTCTTCATTTCTGCTCCCACTAGCTAGGAAAGAATGTGAAGCAAGTCTTGCAGTTTTTAGTACTGACAGAGGTGTCATTAATAACTGGGTGATCTGAATACCTGATCAGCTTACCCAACTTCACAGATGTGCAGAGACCTCAGAACTCCAGCTCTACCATTTTGAATCCTATTCCATAGAAACAATCACATGCTTGCTTTCCAAATACGCCATTCTGTAAGTAAACGTGAGTGCCCAGTTTTCAAGGTTTTAATCCACTTGAACATTTTCTCCAAACTGTAACTTTTAACTAACCATCATAGGGAGCCACAGTGATTGGTGTGAGTAACTAGCTGGAATAATTTCAACTTTTCTAAGCTATGATTCTTAAGTTTTTCCCCACTCTAAGATACATTTTGTATAATGCCACTTAAGGGACCTAAGTGGACAGAGGGCCTATTTAGAAGCCCACTAAAGCCAATGAAAGTTCTCATGTTTTTCCATGGGCTTTTGATCATGCCCTTAGGAGTCAATTGTGCCATATTTACACTCATTGAAGTGTCAGATTGCTCCATAACTCAGTCCTCAGAATAACAGTAGTATAACTGAGCCCACAGTTGTTGTCAAAGTACTACACTTGAATATTTCTGGCAGCTCCTGATAGCTTTAAATTGAAACTATATTTTAATAT